CCTGAACTCAGGGGTATAGTTTTGGGTGTTAATAACTCACCAATTTAACACCCCTATTTGATGACTTTCAAAAATGAATCATCATCACTTAAAATTTTAATCTCTTTTAAAAATAACTAAGACATCCACCAAAACCTTAAAGGCTTAGTAGTAACATAAGCTAAAAGCTAAATCAAATTTGGTTAAATAAGGATTAGAAAAGTGAACATAATTAAAATTGAACATCTTTAAAACACTACAAGACCAAATTAAAGTTAGCTAAATGTCTTTAATAGCACTAACTTGCCTCTTTAAGGATTTTCACCCATATAATTTACAAATTTTCACCCATATAATTTACAAATCCATATAATTTACAAATTTAATCACAAATGATAATTACCCTACTCTTAGGGATAATTAAAACATCATTGTTTGTTGAGCATTAAAGGTATTTATAGGATGGGTTTTTAAGCAACATAATAAGTTTAAATAAGCTCGAGACTTTTTACCAAGACTTGAGAGGGAAGAATAGACTTGCTTCTTTCTCTAGACTTGTTGGATACCTCGGAGGTCTACTGATACCTCGACTTGTTGGATACCTCGGAGGTCTACTAAACTTAATACGTTTTGCTTAACAAAAATCATCATTAATCAAACTAATACGACCCACCAAGATATGATCTAGGGTTATGTAAGTCACAAAAACTTTACTTTCTTGCTTCATATAAAATGCCCTGACATGCATTTTGAGTATAAGGTGGTGGAACGAGAAGACTCGTCATGTATGTTTTTATAGTTTACAGCGTCGTATTTATTGTACTTTCATACTGTACTTTTATTGTTAACACAAACTTGCATACTAAACAACAATGTCACCCTGCATGAAAACTAAAAATATCAGGGTATCCACAAAACCAAAACCAAAACTAAAACTAAAATCAACCAAGATAAAATTCACCCCCACAATATTCACAATATAAAACAACTCAAAATTTAATCACAAATATCACAAAAACAACAACTACAACTAAATTAAGACGTCTCTATCGGATGATCGGGAATCCCTCGGAGGAGGTAACCTACTGTTGCTAACGAGGCTTCCCACAAGCTAAATGAAATTACGAAACTCATTAAGTTGAGTTTAGTAAATTCATTTGGACTAAGTGAATCTAATAGAAAATAGTAGTGCCGGAACGAGGGAACCGTAGGATCCTAACCAGTGTCGCTCTAATCAACTTTAAATACCCCATAAAATTTAAAGAACTTCAACCATAAGGCCACCTGATTTGACATCATAACTTGACGCCCTAGAAAACTCAAACTCGTCATAGTAAGGAGCTTGGAGCTAGCATGGTGGGCAGCACGGCCATCTTCAACAACAAAAACTGTCTTCTTAGCTAAACCATTCCTTCCTTAGAATTAAACAACCAAGCCAAAGGATTTCGAGGTTGTCTACTTATGCAACATAAATCCTCACCTCATTTTTAGGTCTTCGTACAGCTCTGTTGTACAATATAAGCCATAACTAGTCTTAAGATTCCAATGTTGTCCTTTGTCATGACCTAAATCCTCACATCTTCCAGGCTATTTGTGTGATCGTTTCATACAAATGTAAGTCCTAACCAAACAAAATTGGCAGGATGAAAAACCTAAATATTTCTTCTCAAAATAAAAACAAAACCATAGGATAGACTGGGAAGTCACCGAGGTTTTCCTCTGAATCTATGACATCCCCTAGATCTTCCTCCTTTGGATTCCAAAAAAAAAATGTTCTAAACTTGAGCCAATCCCGTTTCACGCATCTCTGTCTGATCTCGTTGAGCAGTCCTATCCTTTTGAAGTCCTTGAGGATAATATTTCCTAATTTTTATCGAAAGTTTTCTTAGGTGCCTTTGGTCATTTAAGATGTAATTAATTATTGAGGCTTGCCCTTATAGGAAACTTCTCCAAACCCAGTTTAATATAAACCCTATTTAATTCTTCGTATTAAATAGGAGAAATTATCGGCAAATAAAATGATTTCACAGAACAAACGAACGTCATACATTTATCAGTTTATTTGATCGAGCCTCATCTTCAATTCTTGTGTTTATCCTTCGGGATAGATACATGATTTGAGGTACAACGCTCTTTCATTTAAATTCATTTAAACTATGAAAAATATTGGGTCAGTTTGGTTTCATATTTTTCTAAACTTAAATCTATATGTAAATTAAAATATCCTTCCAAAGTGGGCGATGGGATTTCGATTCCCGTGACCGATAGCTTCTTACGAGCAACTCCCCCAAACCAAAAATAGTGCCGACAAATACTTGCTGAATTAGCTGCCATTTATAACATCTGCTATAGACTCTCACCTTCCTGAGTTTTATATTCAATAGACTCGATCTCATTATCAGGTAAGGATCCTGAAGGTTCTAGGGAGTCAATAAATGGATCATCATTAGAAATATCGAAGTCCGTATCTGAATGCGAGGGATGTCCTCAAACTCCGCAGTGCCTTTATTTTTTGGCAGTTGGCGTTACCTGGAATATAAGGCATTGTTTAGAGGAGTTTAGGCATTATCTAAAATATAAACAAATTAAGAAAAGACATTTGTATTTATTACCTCTAATCTTTCAGCCCACCATTCAGTTAGAGCATCGATAGTTCATTTAACGGGATCCCAACCCAATCTAGTAGATTCACGTTTCAGCTCCTTCCATATTTTTCATTCTTTCTTCTATTGGTCCCATTTGTTTTTTGAATTTAAGCCTTTCGCAATCTCTTCCAGTCAATTCTTTGAACCTTGCAGCAATATTATGCCAACCCTCTTTATTAAAATACATAGTAGGCATGTTCCTAAGTTCAATTTCTTTTATACATAAATCGCAAAATATATTGGTAACTTCTTTATTTCACATTGCGGTGGGACCCCCTTCAGACGTTTTAGCCATTGTATAATTATATGAAGAATTGCATATTGTATAAAGAAATTCATGTTGAAACTCAACAAGCATAATAAAATTATCTAAATTAACAAACAGGAGTTAAAATATTTGCTAAAGATTCGTTAAAAATGAATCAACATCCATACATGTCATGGAATCAACAAAATGCAACAAAAAATGAACCAACATCCACAAAATTAACTAACAACATTGTCGAGATTTGTTAAAAGAAAAAAGAACAAAAAAAATAACACAAAGGATTTATGTGGTTTGGTCAAAGACAAATATCTACTAAACAGAGCAAAGTCATACCCAAAGAACAAAATGAAAAGACTGTTAGATGCGTAAAAAGCTTTTCAATGACAAATAATGCATTACTACATATGCATTTTAATAGTTTCGGTTCAATGCAAACCCAACAAACTGCCAACCTCTTTGCAAAGAATTCCGGAATGTGTATTCCAACAACACATTTGTACCTCATATGCATTTCCAAACTCAATATAGGAAATGTCACACGATATGCAAAGCCAACACATACACATTTCCAACCTCAGCCAAAATTCCAAAATCATATAATTATTAAAAAATCATACTATTTTGATGAAACTAAAAATCGCTGCATAGGGAAGATATGGAATACTCCGAGATCGGTAGAGCCAAAACAAAACAATAAAGAACCACTGCAATGCCCCAAATTCCATAGGAGCCAATAAGAGAGAGGAGGCATCTTACGACATAGAGAGAGGGATAGAGAAGGATTAGAGCCCAAATTCCATCAATAAGAATCATCACAAAGACAAGATCACCCAGCCAAAACTCATGCAATGCCACAAATTCCTTAATTTTGTTCGGAACACCCTACCGATACTTTCATCAAAATTTCAAATCGAGTAAAAAGAAAGTTCAAAGAAGGTTCGAAAAGCTTTGCAACAAATCAGGGGTCAGACACCCAAAACTGTGTATCGAAAGTTCAGAGAATGCAAAACCACCCATCCAAAATTCCTTAAAAAACTTCCAAAACCACCAATGGTCCATCCAAACAAGATGGAACGCCGCACAAATCAGGGATCGAACAACATCTAGCAAAAACACATAAGGATCGAAAACGATGATGCATACCAGACGGGAAAGTAGGGTTTCGTTAAGAGGGCGACGAGAGGGAGAGCAGAGAGTGGATTTCTTGCCAATTTCTCAACGGCAGCGAGCAAGAAGGCGAGGGTGAGGGAGACCGAAGAGAAGCACGGAGCGTCTTTTCCACCCTAAACGCACGAACTCAAAGCGGGACGTGAAGGGAGGAGAGATTATCACGCTCTGCCTTATGTCGCTAATACTGCCTATGAGCGGTGGGAATACGCTCGCGCAAACGCGTTAACCAAACAACCGTGCGGCGTTTTCAAAACGCTGCCGCTTCCATTAAATTGCGCCAAACAGAACCTTAATGTCTAACTTCTTTAGTAAAATTTTGCAATGTGTTGCCCTAATTTTCAGAAAAAAAAAAGCTAAATAAATATAAACATGTTTATCCTAAGTCGTTAGATTTAAAATTGTAAAATGAGGGCCAATTTGCCCCTTCCATCTAAAAACATGGAACATCAAAAATATAATACTTTAGTTTTAATATTTAATTTTTTAGAAGATTTAACAGGTTAACAATTAACATCTTTATTTCAAATCTAACAAACCTCACACCAAGATCATTAAAGGACGCCCTCGGATTACAAAGCCCCATGGCCCACACATCTTGGGCCCACCTTCCTATACAAGCAATCCTGGCCTTCCTTTCAGGCAGGCTTTGAAGGACACGGTGAACCCGTAGTCCCCTTTATAATCCGAATGTAACATTCACGAAAAATGCCAACCCTTTGCCACGTGGCAAACTCGAAGGATCCCGGGAACGGTGGGTTCGCATGCGACACGGGACATATTTCTCCTTTTATCCTCCTAATCATACACACATCTGCTTTCTTAATATTATTTATTTTTTTGAAAATGCAGTACGGTGGAGCCCACCAAACAGCTGTCTCCAGCTCTCATACTCGCTCCTGCCAGCCCACGCTACAAGTCTCCACTCCCTCCCTATAAAATTCCCAACCCTCTCTGGACACTTAACATGCACCCTCGGACCACACTCAATTATCCTATTCCAACGTCCCACTCCCAGAGCAAAATGTGCAGCAGCTCATCTCCTTCCCTTTTACTCCTCTACCTCCTCCACCTCCCTACCCTCATTCTCGCCGCTTCTCCCTTTCCATACCACTCTAATAAAATCCACATTCCCCTCGGTGGTGTCAAACCTTCAGGCGACGCCCTCGGCGAATCGAAGCGTTTCGAGGGATCCTCCGATCTCGTCAACCTCCGATACCACATGGGTCCCGTTCTGTCTTCCTCAATAAAGCTTTACCTGATCTGGTACGGCCGGTGGGCTCCTTCTCAACAATCCACTATCCGCGACTTCCTCCTCTCGATCTCCGACTCCACCTCTCCATCCCCTTCCGTCTCGGAATGGTGGTCGACCATCTCCCTCTACGCGGACCAAACCGGTGCCAATGTCACTCGATCGCTCACCATTGCAGGCGAATCGTCCAACCCCTCCCTTACCCGCGGCACTTCACTCACCCGGCTCTCCATACAGCAAGTAATCTCCGATGCCATCCTATCCGGTCTCCCAGTAGACCACCGCAACGGCGTCTACTTGGTCTTCACCGCCTCCGGCATTGAAATGCAGGATTTCTGTCGCGCGGTATGTGGCTTCCATTATTTCACCTTCCCTTCCATGGTTGGCCACACATTGCCATACGCCTGGATCGGCTATAGCGGTCGCCAGTGCCCGGATGTTTGCGCCTACCCATTCGCCGTTCCGGCTTACATGGGGCGGGCAACGGCGGCGATGCGGCCACCGAATGGCGATGTTGCGGTTGATGGAATGGTGAGTGTGATCGCACATGAGCTCGCTGAGCTGTCGACCAATCCGCTTGTGAATGCCTGGTACGCTGGCGATGATCCAACCGCGCCGACAGAGATCGGCGATCTTTGCGAGGGGGTCTATGGAAGTGGCGGCGGCGGGGGGGGCAGGGGGGGGCGGCGGGTAGACCGGCCAAGTGGCGAGCGATGGCGCCGGCCGGCAATACAATGTGAATGGGAGGAAGGGGAGGAAGTTTTTGATACAGTGGGTTTGGAACCCTGCGCTAAAGGCATGCGCTGGCCCTAACGCCATCAATTAGATTGATAATGATTTTTTATTTATTAGGATTTGAGAATTCTGTCACGTTGTTATCGTTATAGGGATATAGGTAGAAGGAAATTTTTTTTCTTTTTCTTTTTCTTTGTTTTGTATATTTTATGATGTTGTTTGAAAAATGAATTACTTTTGCCACTCAAAATGATAGATTGTTATTTGTCGATATTAATGTAATACTTATGATAAAAATTATTTTTTGTACTAATTATTGTTTGTCATATTGAGATCAATTTAAGAATTGAAAGATTTACATACATTACATTTAATTGTTAGTATTTATGTATTTATCACATAAACTTTATTTTCTACATACATATCATCTTAGCCCTGCATAAAATGGTGTATTTGTTTCTTTTCTAAATTAATATGATGGCAATTTTTTATGTGATATGAATGATTTGGGCTACAAAAATGTACATAAGGAGGTGTTTGATATGTAAATAGCTAAGAATTGAGTGTTATGTATGTAAATGCCCTTCAATAATTTTATTTCTATTTTTTTCTTGAAGTATATTCAATTTTTATGCAACTTTTTAATTTTATTTCTCTTTAAAGTTTGTCTATTTGTGGATTGATTCATCTAGTTGTTTTTTTCCATTTGCGCATCTTCAATTTTCAGTTATTTTTATTTATGTATATTCATTAAAGATTGAAAAACAAGACAAACATATCACACAATTCTCATGTGTGTGTTATATATATTGATGTAGGGTTTTTGTGTGCGTTGTAAATATCCTTCAATACTACAATACACACGACAACACAATTGGTAAATATAAAGATCAATCATAATAAAAATAACTTCAGTGTAAATAATTTTATATTTAAAATCTTTAAGCTGCCAAATTTATTTATTACGCAAATATACGTTTCGCTCAAGTAATAAAGAGCTCTAATGGAGTCCTAAGTATCGATCCCACAGGGAGGAAGAGATTCTTATTATTGTAAAAGTGAGAAAAATAAGTCGAAAGTAAATGTAATGTATGTTAATGAAATTTAACTAAAAGAACTAAGTTAATTAAGCTATTTTCTAAACTTCAAAGTTAAATTTACAAAGACTAAACAAAGTTGTAATCAAGATTTCAAATTTAAGAGAACAACATTCCCCTTTACAATGAGTTTATGGTTAGTGAAGTAATTAAAATCATTTAAAATTATATAAAATTGTATTGTGTCAGATAGGAACAATCATATTCTTTACCATCTGTCGAGAGCATAAAAAACATTGGCTAATTCGGAGTTTGGTCTCTAATATCCGTGATTAGGTTGGAAGGATACTGGCTCTCACTCCAGAGCACCTACTTCCCCCTCGTCTGAGGGCTAATATCTCGCTTTTATTTCCAAACAACTAGATTAAGGGTATGTTTGGGGCAGCTACAACTTATTGAATAATCTGCTGATAAACTAATTAAAATTAATCTGTTGATAAGCTAGGTGCAGTAGCTATTATAAATTTTTATTTTCTTAGAAAAGTCAGACCGCAGCCAGAAAGCTGCTACCACACTTAGACAGGTGCGGTGTGAAAACGCTGTTTTCAGTGTTCTGAAAACGCATAAGCTGCCAAAACACAGTTTACTCAAACATGTCAGATGCGTTTTCAAAACGCCACAACACCAAATAAGCTGCCTCAAACGGACCCTAAATTGGAGATTTTAGTCTATCACCCTAAAATCTCAAATTCTGCACCCACCAAAATATATTTTCATATTTATTTGCACGCAACCTCATGGACTGCATTCTCATCCATGAATTTGAATGTGACTCTCACCTTATAATAGAAAGCATAGCCCTTTCGGATCTTATTTTTCTCAACAAATTTTAATATTTTAATTGGTCAGATTGAAAAGTAAATGAAGATCAAAGTTTTAATCATAAAAAAATATTGACATTTAAAACATTGCATAATAATATTAATTCTTCACAAAATCATATCTCATTGTAGAAAGAAGGATAAAAAAAAACTACTCAGAATTCATGAGGAGGATACGACAAAACATGAACTTTATATATAAAAATAAGTTTACAAAATAAAGAAAGGAAAGAATACAACTTATCTTGCACTCCTCAAGTAAATCTCTTTAAGTTCCTTTTAAACACTTTATCACACTCAATTCTTTCTTAGAAATGTAATGAGGAAGAAATCTTTAATTTTCCCTCTCCTTTTACAACTCTAGAAGAAAATCCTCTACACGACACACCTTCTCCTCTGAAGAGTCCATACGACACACCAAATACAAAGACCTCACAAGACTTCTTAAGAGTGGTGCCAACCCCTCTTCTCCAAAGAACTTCAAAAATTCATCCTTTTCCCAAGAGACACATCTCTTCACACCAAGAGACAAATCCCTTCATCCAAAAAACATATCTCTTCATTCAAGAGCCTTCACCAAGTGTCTAGATGCATTGAACCACTCCATGGGGCGTTTGAATTACTTACAGCCTTCTAGAACATCTGAAAAATAGTCAATAACCACCAACAATTTGTCCAAATCCATCTCTGGAGCCTCTGGCGCCTGTTTACTGGAGTTCAATGCTCATCTCTGGATTCTAGTGCCTTTAGGGCCTCTGGCCCCTGTTCTTTGTAATATGGCCCCTCTAGCGCCAGCATGTAGAAAATCTACATTTTGACTCCAAATTTCTTCCTTTTTGCTCTATTTTGCTCCAAATGCCTAAAATCAATATAACAACAACAAAACATGAAAATACCATTCCTTAAAGTGTAATATTACAAAATTTAAGCATAAAATATATCCATAAAATTGCACATTTTTTTGGTGTATCAAAATCCTCCAAACTTACCAAACTTAAAAAATCCTCCAAACTTAAAAGTTACTTGTCCTCAAGTAACTTTTTTACTACATAAAAATATGATTTATGGTAGAGATTTTAACTTATAAATCTCTATAATTTGGTTTAGTAAATATAATAATATAACTTAAGAAGTATTTTTAATAACTTAGGTTAAAACTAAAATTAAAAACTAAAATTATAAGAACACATAAGAACACCTAGTAGTCAAGTATAAGATTTCTGATTTTCTATTCATTTCAAGAAGAATTTTAATTTTTCATATCAAAGGCTTAGAATGTTCATATGAAAAAGAATTTCATGAGAAATTTTAATAATGTTGCTAATAATCCAATACAAGTTTAGAAAATATAATAAATTTTTTTTCCTTAAGTTGATTCAAGTGAAGCTAATTTTTTATTAGGCGTCTCCTCAAGCTTCTCCTCACCAAATTTTGTTTTATTTTTCTTTTTCTTTTCATTTTCTTTTAGGATCATTTTCAATCATTTCATTTCTTTTATTTTTAATTTGAGGATTATTATATCTAGATAGCCTTTAATAATTTTGAACTTCACTATCCTATTCTTGAAGTTAAAAACTTCTTACCTTCCTTCACTTTATAAATTCATTTTAGCTTTGAAGATTTTGCATAAAGTCTCATTTTGTTATTCTTATATGACTCTTAGATTATTAATACTTTAAGAATACAATTTCGTTTTCCTTAAATAGAAAAAGCATAATCTTATCCTTCCATACTAAATATCTTAACTCTAGAGTTGACCTTAATTATTAAAGATTTTTACTTAAATATATTATAATATTTACAAACAAAAATATAATTATCTAAAGTTAGCCTCTAATACCAAAGATCATGTTAAATAAATTTTTAAAAATATAACTAATTGAGGACAAATAAAATTTAGTTTACTTCTTTTAAAGAAATTTTTCTTTCCCCCAAACATCATTTTTTTTCTTTTTAATAAGTAAAACATTCATTACAAAAAATGTATGTGGAAAGAAAAACAGTAAATGCATAAAAATAAGACTAACCTGTAGAGAGTTCTGAACCAGAAACTTGGCTCTTACACATTACAGGTACCACTTTAAAAAGTACAGGATTTAAAGCATTAAATCAAACATGATATATCAATCGGATTTTCTTAGAAAAGGTGAATATAAAGCATAAACAATAAATTAAAGAAACAAACAATACTAAAATAAAAATCAACAATCTACATCTACACATAAACAAGTTCAATAATACCACTTGCAATACACATGGATGTCCAAATCATAACAACAAAAATAAAACAAATCATACTACAACGAACGAAAACAGATAACAACCCAACAACTCATCATTCATCATCTCCATCCTCTTCTTATTCCTCTTCTTCATCAAAATCTTTAAAGTTATCTTGTATATAAGGCGTAAAACTATGACATGTAAGAAATTCTATAGTATGTTGATACACCTAAAATATATAGTGTTTTTAGATGCATTTTTATACTTATTTTTGAGATATTGCGCTTTAATGGAAGGTATTTGTGTGTTTTTCTTTCACGTATAAGTAAAAAGGTGAAAAATGCTTAAAGGAGTAAAAAAGGATCAAATTTGGAGAAAATAGAAGAAAATTGGGCAAGAGTGTCTTGGCTTCTAAGCGCCAGATCCGGCGCTTACGCGCTGGTTAAATAGAGAAGACCTAGCCTAAGCACCGGAGGCCCCGCACTTAAGCGTCAGTGGTAGTTATTGGATGAGTAAATTCAATTTTGTGAATTTTGAAGAGGTTTTTGAGGCACCCATTGGCTTAATAGCTTGTTACAACCACCATGGACAAAATTTATTGTGAAAGGAGACATCTCTTGGAGAAATATTTGGAAAAATACATCGAATCAAGACATATTTTGACGAGATACTAAGACACCTTTTGGAAATATATAAAAGAATGAAGATTGAGTCTTTGAAAGTGTGCTTGAAAAGAGAAAGTTTTGAAAGTTGAATTGGGGAGTTAGTTCGGAGAGATTTTGAGGCACCACA